ATGGCCACCCTAATTATAAATGTATGCCCATATCCATTTCCAACTTAATTTTTCTCTTTTATAACATAACACTATTGGATATGCTATAAGTTTACTTTTGTATGTTCTTTGCTTCTCATCATGAGAATGTCAGTTCTGTGAAGCTGGAGTTCTGTTTTGGTCACTGCTATATCCCTGCACCCAGAGGATGGCCTGGCACATAGTAGGAGCTCAATAAATGTCAGATGAATGACTGGATTTTAAGGGCACTATCATATGCCAAGTTGGACTCTTGTTCTTCTTGGTTTTATACTATAAAGAGATTCCTCTTTCCTCCCCCTAATTTGTCCAATTCCCTTTGCTGGTGCTATTCATAAGATTCATAATCTTATTCTTAATACCCATTTTTCATTTAATTACTGTTATGATATTTCAGTTAGTAAAAGAAAGAAACATTTTATGAAATGAAATGAAATCAAGACATAATAAATACTCGAATTCAGGAGACATTTGCAGCAGACGCAGCACATACAAACCTCCGGCCTGCCCAGCACTTGAGCCCAGATCCAAGGACTCCTTGGGGAGGGCCCCCAGCCTCTGCCTCATTAGCACCTGCCCCATGGGACTGAGTGAGGCACTGAGGGTCTACTAGAGTGGATGTGTCTTTCTCACTTTACCCTGCTATAAGTGGGGTCAGGGATGGTGGATTTAGAAGCAAGTCCTGTGCTTCTAATTTTGTCTGCTAACAGATAAAAGTCAATATTATGTTGTAGAAGATTGCATTTTAAGGGTTAGAAATACTGATATTTGCATCATGTACCCATACTTGCTACCTCTCTGATTTCTATCTGTCATTTAATCCATTGAAACTTCAGTTTTGTCATCCACAAAGTGAGGATAATAACTGTCCACCTTTCAGACTCATTGCAAAGGTTAAATAAGAAAAAGTGTGTGCAATAAGTAGCTCACAGCAGTCACTTGGCAAATTATGGATTCATTTCCATCCTCCACATCATTGAGAAGCATTAGTTCCTAGACGAATCTGCCAAAATTGCATACAACACTTTCCCCTCTATAAACTGGTTTACAAAATCTGCTTGCATTGGGGGCTGGATCAAACAATTAATGTTGCTGGAGTAAAATAAGGTTGTGATGAATGCCATGCTCATCCCCCCACTGGCCTCCACATTGAGCCCTCCTTCCTGATCAGGCCCCGCCAGCTGCCTCTTCCAAAGGTGGCTCCGAGCCAGGCCATTCTGGTAATCCCAGCTCACTGTCAGCCACCTTTGGCCTTAGGACACCATCTGACTTCACTGGACCCCGGTTTTATGACCCGCAGAGTGGGTACCATATGATGGTACTGCTGCCTCACAGTCTTCCTATGTTCAAATGCAGATTCGTGGGCTTTACCCCCAGATGCTCTGATCAAGCAGGTCTGTGCTGGGGCCAGACAGTGTGCATTTTTGACAGCTCTGGGTTTGTTGATGCTGCTGGTCAGGACCACTCCCCAAGCAGCCAGGTGCGCAGTATTTAAGATAGGACTTAATAGGTGCTCAGCAGATGTCACCTGCTTTACTAACACTTTCAGTACTATTGTTACTGGTACTTAATTAACACCTTTTTAATTATAAAAACTGTTAGAGAAAATATCCTGTCTCCTTCCAGGTATCCCTTCACCTAGAGACCCACATGTATACAGACAAGTGGGATTTCCAGTAGAGCATGATCGGCACCTGCTTCTTTGCAGGAACCTTCTGGGGACTTTCTCTCTAACTTCACTTCACTGACTCAGCTAGCTGCATGCTGTAGGTTATTTCAATACTGTTTTATGGATCAGGAAACAGGCCTGGCAAAGTTGCCTGCTGACCTGGACCCAGACGGAATAAGGCAGAAAAAAAAAAATAAACTGGGTTTTGTAAGTCCAGGATTCCTATTAATTCTCCTCCCCACTGCTCTATGTCATCTAACCACTGAGATTTGCTTTGTTGTGTTTTCCTGGAATGGACTCACATGTTACTGAGTAGTCCATTGAGTGGATATTTTGACAATGTACAGACATCATCTAATTGTCAGTGACTATGCTGAGGTATGATCTATGATAAAAAGAAAAAAAAATACCCTAAGTCACACTTAGATGTCAAAGATTTCCTTGTGAACCAGCGTTTGGAACCTAGAGGTCTCCTGGCTTCATAGGCTGTTTGCTCCACTCTGACATCACCATCCCAGCCCCCCAGTCCCTGAGGGCAGCAGGAGGTGCCTATGGCCACCAACAAAGGACCCTGCAGAAACCGGCTCTGGGCTCTCCTCTCTCCAGTGCCCCAGGGAGAGCTCCCAGCTGGCCTTGCCCAGGAAAGCAGTGATTTAATTTAGTGTAATGACTCTCGGAGTGTGTCTGTTCTACTGCGAGCCGAGTGCTCTCCCCTTGGCAGCTCCCCTCCAATGCCTGCTGCAGACTTTGTGTCTGCAATTGGGCTGAAGAGACACAAACAGAATGCCCGGCAGCCTGATGGCTGGACTGGAGTGCTGTGTGCCCAGGCTGGTTGTCTCCCAGGTCTGCAGGAAAGCCCCAAAGTGCCACAGCTGTGGGCTATAAGCAGTGAGCTTTGTGGGCATGGGTCTCAGCCCAGGGAGAAGGATCTGGACACAGGCCTTGTGAAGGGCACTCACCTGCAGAGTTCTCTATGAAATGTGGCACCTCTTCTCTGTTGGGGTTCCATGCTCACAGCATAATGAAAAGGGGGACTGAGAGCCTGGGATCCCCTGGAAACCCTCTTCTAATTCCAGTGCTGCAGGAAACCCCTAAACTCAACAATGTCTGATCTTCACCTCAGAGCAGTGTGAGCAGAGGCCTCCATAGACACTATATTTCATATTCACTATTAAACAAATACTCAGAATCGTCTTTACCACTGAAGGTATTAAACGTCTGATGCATCAGGCCCAAGTAAGAGGTTCTTAAGGTGTGGAGAATAAAATTACTCTCCAAGAAAGGATCTAAATGCCAGCCTTGGAAACTGTGGCCTCGGTTTTTCAGACAAAGGTGCTGTGCACAGCTTGCCCTGCTCCAGAGACGGGGGCCTCACCCAGGATGTGGAGCAGCCAAGACAGGGGCAGCCTCTCCCTCCTTTCCCTGTGCCCAGCCATTTACTCGGTGCTCATTTCATCCAGCACCCTGCCTACATGTTTATGTCAATGTTGGATGTTGTCCCTTTGAACACATCTGTCCCCATCTAAAATTTGGCAACGAAAATATAGCTCTGAGTACCCCCCCCCCCACCTCCCAGCCAGGTAGGTAAAGGGCTTTCTTGGCAGGGTTGACCCAGGAGACTGGGAGTGACCCACCCTGCCTCACCACTGCAGGTAGCAGGACTGGGATATGGGGGGAGGGCTTAAGTTGAGCTTAAGGGAAAATCTGAATGGCCTGTGATGTGTGAGAAGCTGTTTCTCTTTGCCCTCCTGACCTTCCTTTTCTTAGTGAAACTATCATGGCCTAATTGTAGCATGCTAACCCAGGTTCAGAGTGCAGTTTACACAGGAGCAGGCAGGCTCTATGTTCTACACACAGAGGGCATCTATCCACATGCTTTTCTCCAGGTCCCACTGTGTGTCCTTAGCCCATGTAGTGCCCATGTCCCCTTCCTGGGGTCTGGGTATACCTAGGCCTGACTCTGCCCCATAGCCAGGCTGACCTCTGCCAGACCTGGAGTCTTGCTTCCTGTCCCATGCTTGTTCCCCCAGAGAAGGGGGTCTTTGGCATTTGTGGGATAAACTCACAAAAGTGAAGCTCAGACAGACCTTCCAGGCCAAGCTGGAACAATATGGAACAGCCACTTAGCCCAACCACAGCAGTGCAGGACTGGCTGCCAACATACCCCCCACTGCCCCATTATCCTTTAGAACCAGGACAGCAGAGCAGTGCTGACTGAGCAGGGCTCTGCCTCATCCCTGCCTGGAAGGGCCTCTTGAGAGTTCCTGCTAAGAAGCACCTGCTTTCAGGGGCTCCAGCATTATTAGCTGGTCCACTGCTCTCCCCTGTTCCTCTGTGATGTCATGAAAGGGGGAAGGGAGAAAGGACAATGTATCAAGGGACTCTTCTCTCCCCAAACAAAATGAGATCAACACAGAAACCAGTAAGAAGCAGTGAGAGGCCATGCTGGGGTCAGCCAGGACACCTGTTTTCAAGCCAGGAGAAATAAATGTTTCAGACACCAAGCCTGCCTGAATCTGCTGTTTTCAGCCTGAGCTCCAGAACCCTGGATGCTGGAGAGGAAGCCCTGAGCGCTGCGCACCCAGAGGACACACATGAGTGTGGGCACCACGCTCTCCACCTTGCCGACCCAGGGAGCCACCTTGTCTTCCTCTGGTTGGGCTGGGCTGAGGTTTTGGGTGTGGTAACACTGAAACACACTGTAACTGGCAGGTATGTGTCAATTTGATTAATAAAAATGGGAACGGAAACTGTTTCTGCATGAATAGTCTTCATTTGCTAGAGAACATCTTCCAAAGCCTGGCTTCCATGAAGGCACAACAGGGCAAATGCTTTGCATGAAAAAGACCTGGGAACCAATGCCTCCAGAAACCTTCACGCTGGAAGAGGGAGGGCGTGATTCACCCTGTGATGGGCCATTCCTCTCACCGAACTTCAGCTGAGGAGTACTGAAGTACAGGCGGCAGACACTATAACCTGTTTTATATGAATGAGCCTGTCACAGACAGAACCACTCCTCACCTGCTGTCCTTGCCCTGGGCACAGCGTCTCTCAGCGCTGGGTCGGTCCTGCTGGCACAACCCAGGCGCCCGCTCACAGGCAGCTTCGGTCCCAGATTTGTAAAAAGCAGCAGAAGACTCCAGCACTCACCAGTCCCAGCAGCCTGAGGTGAGGCCCATGACCTCCCTCATGGGCCTGTCCTCCAACTATAAACTGCAGGCCCCTCAGATAGCAAGAGCTGAACAGGCTTCTCGGGCTCTCCTCCTCAGTGACCCGGGTAGGCTGTGTGTGTGGCCGACAGAGACAGGCTTACCTCGTGGGACAAGTAGAAGGCTGCAATGCCCAAAGGCCAGAAGCAGCAGAGCATGGAGAAGACGCTGAGGCCCAGGTGGTCCCTTGGGGGCATCATGAGGAAGTTGTCCTCACTCTCTGTGTCACTCGAGTAGTCACTCTGCAAGACAGAAGAGGACAGGGATGGTACAGAAGAAGAGAGCATCACTAGTGGAATCACTGTACGATGCCCCTAGACATGGGTGCTGAGTCTGGAATGGAGAAAGCCCCTCTGGGAAGGTCACTGTTGTTATTGCCTACAAGTAGACTTCCCCCAAGAAAGGAAGCCCCCAGTTGAGGAGATCCTTATCAAGAACAAAAGAAAAAAATACTAAGTACTTGGCTCTTGAGTCGTTCCATTGAAGATCAAATCCTACAGAAACCCATTATTTCACAGATCTTTGGGACCTAGTGACACACAGTGGGGATAAAGTTTTAGTCTATGCAAGGATGGGACAGGCACTCTGAGAAGGCCACACAAGGATGGGACTCCTCTCTTTATTCTAAGACTTCAAACAGGTTTATAGGACAAGGAGAGCTGGTGTTGGGCAAGGGGACACCGTCTCTGAGCCCCCTTCATTTCCCTAGACTTTGATCTGAGTTAGGACACTGCTGGGCCTGGTGTCAACCCCGGGTGAAAGTGCTATCTCCAGAGGAGCTGATGGCTGCTTTGTTTGGAAGCTTCTCTGTGATGAGCCCACTTAGTGGGCCTGTGAGCTCAGCACAGGCCTGCCAGAGCCTCCTAGGGAGCCTGAGGTAGGGGGTCAGGGACCGGCACAGGGCTTTGTAAAAATCCATGGAAGACTCCATCCCTCACTAAGCAATGACAGCCATGGACCAAACCTCCCTGCAGAAAATCTCACTACTAGCTCCACGCACTAAATGGCTGCTGTCCTGCCAGCACCTCCAGGTCTAGATGTTATGACTAGAGGATGCTTTTTGCCTAATTGGTTATTCCATTTGCTGGGCCCCCATCATGAATTTTCTCTCCTCATCAAAACATGGCACACTCACGCTGACTCATCCAAAATCCAAGGCCAGCCTCTCTAACTGCTTATTTTATGCAAAGATAAAATCTCATTTTACTCCAGATTTTGTTTCCTAAAAAAGAAATGGAGCATTTCTTTCTGAAAGAGGGTCATTTAGCTTCCTCACTCTCTTTGCTAGAGACAGAGGTTGTTAAACATGCAGCCTCTGGATGCAGGCTGGAGACATTCAGTGCTCAATGCAGCCATGCTGGCTACTTCCTCAGGTGGCTTTAGGGGCAGGCAGTGACCTGAGGCACCAAACCTTCCGGTGGATACCCCATGTGAGCGCTGTGCTGCTGGCATCGCTGCCCGGTCCACCTCCAGCAGTGCCCCCATGTGCCTCCCCTGACATTCGCATGCACACACAAAGCCCACGTGGGACCATGCTCCTTCTCTTGGTTAACTAAATGCACATATCACTGCCAATCAGAGCCTCTAGTCAGCGTGCAGACAGACGAGGAGCTGCAGGGAACTAATGGAAACTTCCCGTTAGGACTCTGTTTCTATGTAGTTGAAGAACAGGCAAATTCTGATGATCTCATTCAAATCACAAACAAGGACCTTCTCCAGAGGGCCTGTGACTGAAGTGGGTGATGTGCTAGACAGTGGGTGTGGACACACTCTCACACATGCGCACACACCTACACACCCCGGTGGGTCAAGGACTGGAAGGCATCACTTCTCACAGAGGGCTGGCTCCTTTCCACTAGGCAGGCTCTCTGTCCTGGGGAGTCACCTGCCACTGGGGCAACATCCCCTCTGTGAGTTTGGGACTGTATGGCTTCTCCTCCATAGAGCCCTGTCTGTGAAATTCTATTCTTTTCACTCTGCAGCACTGCTTTCCATGTGGTCTCCTAAACAATGACGGGAAATGAAAATCACTGTCCTTATGTCTGTCTGGGGAGGGCACTGAGCAGCCCCAGGAATGCACAATTCATGGGTGAGACCTGGGCCCAGAGGGCTAGCCAGGGAGAGATGTACCTGCTGGGATGCCGATATCTTTGATCTGAATGAAGGATGTGCAATGTTTTAGGCAGAGCCTGAGTGTCTTCACAGCTGTGCATCTCCAGACAATGCTTGGCCTCCAGACCTTCACTTTGGAAACAGGAGTTGGCTGTCAGCACTGTGTATGTGGCTGAGCCATACCATGAATGGGCCTTTGCATGAGATGCCGGTGATCTCTGGGAAGGGAGGCACCTACAGTGACAATCCCAGGGCAACTCATGAGCAGAGAGCCCCTGAGGGAAGTAGAGGACCAGGGATAAAAGGACAGCCACTTCTTCCAGCCCTCAACCCAGACCCTGAGCTAATAATCTTCACACCAATGAGTCAGCGTGCTGCAGGTGGATATGCTTGCACAAAACCAACAACTTTGTCTATGAGTATTTTAGTTTTTTGGCTTTTGTGGGACTTCTTGTTTGTTTTATTTTACTAAGAGTTTTATATACCAGCACTCTGGATTCTCACAGCAACTCTGGAAATAAGTGTTGTTACTATTTTTGTTGTTGTTGTTCTTTTTGTTTTATGAAGGACAAAGCTGGGCTCTGTGAGCTAAAAGCCTTGCCAAATCACAGAACTGCCCAGTCAGTGGCCACTCCTTCCAGAACTCTATACTGTAAACTGTGCTGGGCAGTAACCACTTGGCTCAACGCAAACCCCATTTTGGCTAAATTTGCTTCTTGCGCAAATGTGAGATGTCTTTTCTGCCTCGCCTGCCCCAGTGATTACAATGACTGCTTCTGGACTGATATGTTTGATGGCAGCAGTGGGATGGCCAGTGGCAGTAGTGGCCAGTAAGAGCCTTCTCAATCACGTTGCCAGAGCATGTGAATTGTTGCTGCAGACCACACAGGTACGCTGAGCTCTGGCTTCTATTTTTGGAACCAGCTTAGAATTACACTGCTATCACCATGAAGCAAATAATTAAATTTCAGGGCACTCCCCCAAAATCTTCACAGACTTTTATTTAGAAGCATAAGGGAACCACACTCTGTAAATTGCAAAGTTGTGGCTACACGGTACCAAAGTAATTAGTCAATTTTGATCAAAATAGATTTTAAAGATTCAGACAAATTACAGGGCAGACAAAAACATCCCAGTTCATTTTATGTTCTGTCTTCCACCGGCGGCTGTTCTGTGGGTATAAGCAGCCGTGGACATCTTGCCATTAAACAGGGAGGAGAGTAGAGGAGATGAGTCCAGCCTGGGCAAGTCTGCATAGATACCAATAAACCAAATAGGGAAAACACACAACCACCAGTACCAAGAAATTCATCATGCACAGCAGTTGCTTCTAAAAATCCTTTTCATGGGTCATCAGATTGAAGAATTGCAAGGCAGACTAAAAGCATTCCAAGGGGACTTACAATTCCTGCAGACGCCCCTTCTGAGGCAGCCAATGCTGGGTGGGCAGAGGAAGGGGCTGCTTGGTCCCTCTGCTGTGCCTTGCTGGCCCACTGGTGCCCCACACAAAGGACCCATTCTCTGCCCATTTCTACCACCTCCACTCAGAAGTTGTCCCTTGTTTTTTTTTTTGTTTGTTTTTTTTGTTTTTTCCTTAGGATACTTCAATAAAACAATCATAATGCCAGGCACAATGCCCAGTGTTTTGCACATAACGATTCACTCAGCTATGTGAGTCTGGGCTGTGAGGATGCCATCTTAGGGATGCAAAGCTGGGCTCAGCCATGTCACTTGGTGTCACTCAAGGCCTCCCACATCCCCTGCCCACCCTCTCTGGGTCTCACACTGCCTCCCCTCCCCCACCCCCAGGTATAGCTTGCTCATCTGCAGTGCGGCTCCACGTGGCCCCAAGGAGAGAGTGTAGGTGCGCTGAGCAGGATGGTACAGCAGCAGGCCTTGGGCGGCTTGAATGCAGGGTTCCCCATGGAGGCTTACTTTCCAGACATGTAGGGGGTTGGTTCTAGAGTGTTCCTGACAGCACTGTTTAAAAACACCAAAATTACAAAATAATTCTACGTATAATTCTATATAATCATGGAAAAAAGATTTCAAAAGGAGAAAAAAAGAAATCTATATAATCATGGAAAATGATAATATAAATGTTTATTTCCTTAGAAAGATGTTTATAAGAACTTAGGTGAAAAACTAGAGTAGGAAGTGGAATAAGTCATATCCCTCCAGGATGTCAGAATGTGCTTCTGGATGGCCAGGATATTGGTTATTTTTTTTCTCTCTCTGCATTTCTGGGTTTTAGCATTTTTCTATACTAAGTAAGTTCATTTAACAATGAAAATTATCAAGGTGCAGATGTGCTAACAGGTGCGGGAGCTTCCACCATTCCTTCATCCTCACTTAGAACCCTGTGGACTATGGTTTCAATGAGACTAGGTACAGAGAAATCACATAACATGGGCCTGTAGCCTGAAGAGCAGCTGCTGGATCAGGACTGGAGCTCAACACAACACCTGAGCTCACTCACTGAGACACAGGTTAGACCTGACCTTGCCACTGGTCCCTCGGCCTTATCTCACTGAGGGTCAAGACCAGAGCCCTCAGAGCAGCCCATGACACTCCTCTGTGTTGAGTAACATGGCAGCCCTAGCCACATGGATCTATTTAAACTTGAATTACCTAAAATCAAACACACCCAACAATTAGTTCCTCAGCCAAACTACCACATTCCAAGTATTCGGCTGCCACAGGTAGTTAATGCCTATCACACTGAGCACAGATGTAGAACATTTGCAGTATCTCAGAAAATTCTATAGGACAACACTGTCTTCTAGGATCTGACCCCTATTAAGTTTGACTTCATTGTCCTCCACCCACAGGCAACACTCTGATATTCCTGCAAAATGCCTCAGGGTTTTGCACTTGCTGTTCTCTCAGCCTAGAATTCTCTACCCCAGAGACACATATGACTGGCTTCCCAACTTCATCTGGGGCTTTTCTCAAATGTCACTTGTCATTATAGCCTTTCCCAGATACCCCATAAGGCTGTCACTGCTGTCCCCCATTACTATCCCCTTACCTGTCTCCTTTGCACTACAGGTGGCACTAGTTTGTTTACTGTCTCTCTTCCTCTAAGCACTAAGAAGGCAGACAATTTTGCATGTTTTGGTCACAGCTG